TATATATATATATATATATATATATATATATATATATATATATACACACATGTATATAAAGGGTGGGAGGAGAAGCAGTTCAGAAAAAATAAGCAGCACATCAACCTAAGCTGACAGTTCCACACATTCTTCTTGGAGTTATGCTTAGTGAGGACCTTGGATTGTCAAGTTATGTCATGCTCTATTTTATTTATTTATTTATGAGGCAATCAGGGTTAAGTGACTTGCCCAGGGTCACACAGCTAGCATGTGTCATGTTCTGAGACTGGATTTGAACTCACGTCCTCCTGACTCCAAGGCTGGAGCTCTATCCATTGTGCCACCTAGCTGCCCTTATGCTCTATTTTATACAGGAGGAAATGGAGGCCTACAGAGTGTAAGTAACATCCAAAAAAGCCTCCCACGGTTGTGTGAAGTGCAGGATATGATCATCCAAGAATGGGAGAGATAAGTAAAACCGAGATCCATCCAAAGTTTGTGCTAAGCCCAGCAACTGTAGTGACGGATGAAGGGTGGGGAGAAGGCAGTACATTCATGCTTATCCCTCTACTTTACCATATTATGTCCGGAGCATGGACATAGCTGTTGGTTTTGTTTTTGTTGGTAGAAGGCATGGAGTGAGGAGAGAAACAAAAGATAATGAGATCAGAAGGTTTGTAGATCCTTTGAGAACCCTTGTTTCTGAGGCCCTAAGTGATCTCCCGGCAGCTGGTGCTTTCCAACCTAAAAATTACTTTGTATTTATTTTGTGTAGGGCAAGCTAGGTGGTGAAGTGGGTAGAGTGCTGGACTTGGAGTCAGGAAGACTTGAGTTCAAATATGACCTCAGATACTTCCTAGCTGTGTGACCCTGGGCAAGTAGTCACATAACCCTGCATGCCTCATTTTCCTCATCTGTAAAGTAAGCTAGAAAAAGAAATGGCAAACTACTCTAGTATCTTTGTCAAGAAGACTCCAAATGGGATCACAAAGAGTTGGACCCGACTGAACAACAAAAGTACGTGTTCTCTCCTCTAGTAGTAGAACGTAACCCCATTGAGGGCAGGGACCTATTTTATTTTTGTCTTTGTATCACTGGCACACAAGTTGTCTGACCCAGTGCACAGTGCTTAATAAATTCATATTTGATTGATTGTTCTGCGCAAGCAATGTAGTAGGGTTTTGACCACTCTTTCAGAGAATTAAAGTACATAGGAAAGTCCCCTCCACACAAAAAATATTTATTGATGCTTTTTTTTAAGCACTGAGGTTCCTTCCCAATGACCCAAGCCTCCCCTTTTTCAAAGAAGTATATTTAAATAGAAGGAGATA